GGCAGGGCTGCTCTCAATCCCTTCATCCCCCAGTACCCCCAAGTCCTTCTCGGCAGGGCTGCTCTCAATCCCATCCCCCAGCCTGTACTGATACCGGGGGTTGCCCCGACCCAGGTGCAGGACCTTGTACTTGACCTTGTTAAACCTCATGAGGTTCACATGGGCCCACTTCTTGAGCTTGTCCAGGTCCCTCCAGATGGCATCCTGTACCTGCTCACCAGGCATGTTTTGAGCATCCCATAATTAATGTTTGCTCAGTGATTGAGGCTGATGGGTGCTTTGTGTTATTAGTGAATGATGAGTAGCTGATGTTGTTGACGTTGCTACCTTGAGACATCTAATTTCAGCATTTGGACTGAGCAAAACGGCCAGGGGCCAGACTGCCGGTGCCAAAACCCTGCCGGGCTTTGTGTCTTTGGAGGTGGCTTCCTACCAAAGCCCTGCACATGGGCAAGCCTGTCCTGCCTTGGTAGCGCCGAGTTTGGACCCATATGGTGGCAGGGACAGGACCTGTGCCGGTGGCATGGTGGGGCCAGCAGTTCCCCTTGCTAGGGCAAGATGCGCAGAGCCCCCAAGCCCAGGGTAGCAGCAGGGGGAGTGGGCTTGGGGACATGGATGCAAGAAGATGTTCAGGGACCTAATCCAAAGCCCACTGAAGGTTTCTTGTGTATTTAACCCATCTTGATGCATGCGTGTAAGACTGGATAAAAGAACTGAATGTCTGTAAAGGAGTACTGAGTTATCCCAGCCCTCCTCCCACACTGCTGAACATGGGTGTGAGGGACAAGCACTCACACAGGGATGCTCATTTATTTATTTATTGGGGGGAAGAAAGCACTGGTGAAAGTAATGCTTGTGAAGCTTTAAAAGAAAAATTACCTTCTGATTATGCTGAGATTAAAAAAACTAAGCCAGAGTCATCTTCATCTCCTCCATCCATAATCCCAATGCCACCCAGCAGGCACTGCCCTGAGCAGCCAGTTTGTATTTTCTTACAAGGTGGTTCTGGGGAGCTCCCAGGAATTTGGGGTGCTGTGTCTCCAGGCAGCACAGCAGCCTCTAGTGACAACTGCTCACATCCAGCCCTGGGGAAAGAAACCTGCAAATGAATCTTGGGGGGCTGCTTGCTCCCCAGGAAAATTAGAAGCAGAGTCCAAATTGCTGGAGGAGAGGCATTCCTGCATGCAGGGTAGCTTGGTGCTGGGCAGGGTCCTGAGCATACCCATGAACCCCGTCTGCGCTGAGCAGCTGCACCTGGGAACCCCCACCCACACTCTCCACCCATGGCCCTGGAGACCCATTTAAGCTCAGGCCTGAGCACCCAGTCCTGCCCTGGTCCACAGGGTGCTGGTTAGCAGCACTGGTCCCTGCATGGCTTGTGCTGTAGGCAGCCCATCTCCAGTGCCCTCTCCTGGAGAGACATCAGAGCTACATAGTAGCTCTGCCTCCAGGATAGACTTCAGATCTGGGTTGCAGTCTTGTTCCTGGCCCATCTCCTGCAGCTTCAGTGTCCTACAGGTCTGGGTCTCCTAATGGCACTCTGTGAGCAGCCTGTGTGCCTAAGGAAAGGTGACTTGTGATATACCCTCTTCTGTATAGGGGCAGAGCTTGGGCTTTCCTTCTTCAACCTGGTCACCCATTTCTAAAAAGCCTGTAGGTTTTTTATGGCTTTGAAGTCTTTTTCCCTCTGCTGAGTTTGGCTGGAGCTGTCTGCTAACACATCAGCCTCCCCAGGAAACCAAGCTGAGTGTGTCTGGTGAGGCAGGGTCTTGAGCGCTTCCTTTGGGCAGAGGTCCTAGGAGTAAATCTTGGAGACTGTCTGAGCACAACTAAAGTTAGCTTTTTTTAGTGCTTGGTTTCATGCTTCCTTTAGCTCATGTGTGGGGTAATAGCTTCATTTATTTATTTGTAGAAGAGAAAAGTCTCTAGCTCCTACAGGGCAGGTAGGTGATAGTCTTCAGTGTCACAGCAAGACTGTCCTTCCTTCCTGGAGCAGTTGCATCTTTTGGCTTTATCCTAAGACCTAAAGGACCTCATATCAGGAGCAGAAATGAGCATCAAGTCTTGCCTGGTAGTCTGTGCTCTCATGCAATGCTCTCACCCCCTTTCCCTGAGGCTGCTTGCTGCAGCTTAGGAAATCCTTCCCTCTCCACCAGAAGGTTTGCCTTCAACTGGCCCAGTCCCCTGTGCTGCTGGGAGGGAGGACTACTGGCCTGCAGCCCATCAGTAGCAGGAAGGGACCCAGGCAGAGGGTACGCCCACATCTTGAGCCCCCTGGATGTTATGAAGGCCATCATCAAAGAAAATGTGGGGCTGGATCTGGGCGAGGATGGGGCCCTTGGGAGCCCCATCCATGAAGAAAGCCTCGTCGATGGCCAGACCCCACTCCTGGAGTGTCTTGATGGCTCGGACGCCCATGTCTCGGCCACTGCGGGCGGTCACCAGGTAGGTGCGGATGGGAGATTTTTCCTGGCTGAACTTCTTGCGGATCTTCCCAAGGTGCATGGCAAAAGCCTTCAGGGGACCCTGGAAGCACAGCAAGATACTTGGGAGTGGGTGGGAAATAAGAGGACACCTACTCTGCCTGTACAAGCCACTTGTTCCTCTTCCAGGGTCTCTCAGGGCTCTGCAGAGCACAGGGATGCCTGTGGGCTGCAGGATTGGGCAGTGCTGGGACTGGTACTGCGCACTGCGGTGCTCGGGAGGAAGGTGAGCATTGTGGTGCTCATCCTAATCCCAAAGTGACCAGGAAGGTACATCCCAGCGAGCAGTGCCTCTGGGTCCGAGTTCTGCAGGGACTTGCACAACAAGAAGTCCTAGCCTACAAAAGGTGAAGTGGAGGTAACCACAATCCTAGATATTTGGGAGCTGATGCTCACTTACAGGAGACAGTGGGCCAGATCCATCTCCAGTGGGACTCCAGATCAGGCCCACACCAGGGACTGAGTGGTGGATGCAAAGGGAACCTGTAAGGGTTTGTGCTTCTTTGGCTACTCATGGCAAAGCCCTAGTGGGAGAGATGCTCACGGTGGGTGCAGAGCTTGTGGATGCCCATCAAAGTGGGGTGGCTTGCTCACCTCTCCCATGGGCACAGCCTCCATTGCCCGCTCATATCGCACTGCCCCCTCCAGCCCCTGCTCCTGGAAGACCTGGTCCGTCTCGTTGGAGAAGAGCACGGCATCCCCGTCGAACACCACGCGGAGTGGGGTGCTCGGGGCCTGCACCTCCTGCTGGAAGACAAGTGCTGCCGAGACCCCTGCAAGACAGAGCAAGGTGGGGCTCAGGAGGGACACCCCCGCCTGGGGGCAGCTCGTGCATGGCCAGCTCCTCCCTATGCATCTGCTGTGGCCCCATCCCACACCTCAAATGCCGGGGTCTCCAAGCTGGGGTTCTTTTTGTGGGGGTCAGCCCAGCCTTTCTAGGGCTGTGTTATCCCCCCATAGGGATAAGAATGGACAACAAAGTGCTGCTGATCAGAGACTGTCTGGAGAGATACTTGGTCTGCTAAGAGATGATGGGTGGTTGTGTAGGCACAAGCAGCCCTCCTCCTGGTGCTCGCTCACCCTGTGAAGCCTGGCTTTAATGCCCAGATTTAGCACTCCGTGCTGTGAGTAATAGAGACTGGCACCTCCACTTGATTGGGGTAATTGGCTTAATTACAGTTCTCTTCCTACAGGCTGCTCCCTGCCCGCCTTCATCTGTGGACTGAAGCCCCTGGATGAGAGACACTTGTCAGAGCAATGATGCTCTTCAAGAAGGCTCCAGGAATGTGCTGTGTAGCGAAGGAAAGCCCAGGCTGCAGATGGCTTGCTCCTGACCTTGAAGGACCTTGGCCAGCTGATGTGCTCATACCCAAGCAAATTAATAAGGAGGTAATTACCTCCCTTAGAGCCGTTGAGGAGACTGCACTCCCTCTGATCCAGGTCAAGCATGTGCTTACATCTATCACTGAGTACATGGTAACTCTGCATGTACCAAGAAAGCAAATTGCTATAGCATCCTCACAAAGCCCTGGGAATCACTGATACACTCTCATTGATACAGGGAGCAGCAATGGGCAGCATCTTCGGTTAGAAAGGCTTAAATGTCAGGCAGGGAATGACCAGCCCATGGCAGAGCTACGGCCAGAATTATGCATGAAGCACTTGTTGGCTTGTGAAGGCATCTGAGAAACTCTGGTGTGTTTGCAGGCTATTGGGGACAGAAGAGGAGATTGAACCATTCAGGACTGTACTGGTAATCAACATGCTATTCAGGTCCTTGCCCTTGTAAGAGCGCAGACTCTGGTGTTGCCTCTTGGTACTGGGCTGCTTGGAAAAACTGTGGTGGGTTTGGGACGTGGGATGGAGGGGAGAACGCACCTCTCTGGAGGGCATTGCAGACATCTATCCTGTCAGCTGAGAGGAAGAGCTTGACGCCGTGGGACTTCAGGTACTGCGTGGAGTCCTTGTTGCTGACGAAGCAGAACTTGGATATCTCCAGGCCTTCAGGTCAGGGGATGTGAGCAAAGTCTATTAGGGGGCAACATCCTCCTTGCAGCCCCCCCCGCCCCAGGGTCTCGGCATGCTTTGCAGAGCTCAGCGCAATTAATTTCCCAGTGCTGTGTGGGGAACCTGCCCCTGTTCTTGCTGCATATTCTTGTCCCGTTGCTCCTGTGAAACTGCAGAGTGCAGTTAAATATTCCCTTCATACCTCCCTTAAATGAGCCTTCCTGACAGCACTCTGGGATTTAGTTGTGTTTTTTTTTTTTTCTTTTTAAGAATTCTGTTTCTTTAGCAGCTGCCTGAGGATGCCCAGGCTGTGCAAAATGCTGCCAGACCCCCTGGTGCAAAGGATATGGCCAAAGGGAGCCTGGCTATGCTAAGGAGCCTGTACCCTAGGTGTGCTCTGGCACCCTGGGCAAGCTGCATGGGGCTGGCAGGAATTGGGCTTGTTTCCGAAATAACCCCTTCCCCTTGTGTCCCCTGGCTCTGTATTTGCCACTGATGCTCCACTGTGGTGCCTTATCTGTTTCATAGCTTCCCGGGGGAAGCAGATGCCCCCAGGGATGGGGTCCCCCTTACCGTAGTGCTTGGCGCTGTTGATGATGCGCACGCCGCTCTCTGGGCTATTGTTGGAGACCACCAGGATGTCAAAGAGGTCCTTCTCTGCCAGGTTGCTCTCCAGGATCTTCTCATTCACATACTGTGCTGCCTGCGAGGAGATGATGTGTCTTTTGGAGGGGCATGAGTGCAATGGCTTTGCCAGGGCTCTTTCACAGTTAAGGTTAGTGGTTTGTGCTGCATCTGTCAGCTAGGGCAAGGCTAGCATGTTATGGGGAGCCAGACAAAGCAACCACCCTGCAAAAGCCATCACCAGGAGGGTATGGAGCAGGATACTCCACCGGGGGGAGGTGGACACGTGGGACTGGTGAGGAGCACAGGTCTTGCTGCCCTGCAACGAGGCCAAGAGGCCAGGACAGGCATATCTGCACCTCATGATAGGAGTTGAGACCTAAACCTGTGAAAGCTGAGCTTTCAGCCCATCCTGCAAGTGTCTGCATGTGCCCCTGGCCAGGCATGGGGCTCACCTGGATGAAGGCGAAGGCCGTGCCCGGTGGCAGGGGTTTGTCCTGGTTGGCCTGCTGGTGCCTTGCGTACTCCTCCTTGCCCTTCTCCAGGTAGAGCTTGTGCTCCTCCTCCAGATTGAAGATGGCTCTGGTGGTCACTGCAATGACCAGTGCCTCACTGGGGTCTTTCTGCAGGACAGGGAGAAAAGAAGGAGCTTGGGGAGGTGGGGTGAGCAAGGGTACACAGGGCTCCACCGACCAGGGTGGTGGGGTTGGGCGTTGGAGGCACCACCCATGCATCACGGTTCCTGATGCCAGCGGGCCTTTGAAGAAGAGGTACCAAGCCCAATCTTAGTCTTCAGGCCACCAAGGATGGGGTAGGCAGTTGTGAAACCCTAACCTGTCTTGTAAGTGCCAAATGCTCTGAGGACAGCTCACACCAGAGGTGATGACTGCTTCATAATTTTGGTGTTTGTGGGCACAGCACAGCCATGGTCGCCCATTTGTGCTGAGCTGGGCACTACTGGGTTTCTCTGCACATACTGGTGGTTTTACCCTTCATTTCTGTCTGTTCTGGAGCGTCTCTATATATGTACAGAAGCTGCTGCTTTCTCCCTGGCCGTTCCAAAATTTAACTGTGAGCAAATGCACCTGTCCTGTCCATGCAACTGGAGGCTCAGTCCTGCAACCTCTTCCCATGTGGAAATCACATGGACCTCACTGGGACCAGGTGCCTAGCACCCTGGGACAGGCCACTTCTGTTGAAACCTAGGCAAAGGCAATTCAGGCCACCACAGCTCCAGGTTGTGGTGTGTCCTCTCCTGCGGTGGCATTACAAAACTTGCTTTAGACATACAGGATATGTGTTTTGTAATGAACAACCTTTTACCTGTTTCACATCAGTGTTTATGACTGTGCTTTCAGGCTCTGCCATCTTCAACTTTCAACCTCAAAGAGAAAATAATACACAATTACACTGATGCATTATAATACAGCCATCTAGAGAGGGGGAAGAGTGGAAAAGAAAGGGGACAACCTACCCACCAAGTGGAGCAGCCCAAATGAGCCTGCTTCTGCTGAGAACAGCTCTGCTCTGAGAAAGCCTGGTCTAATAGTTCCAATTAAATACGATGAAGTGGCTTTTCAATCACAGATCACTGCTTTTTCTGCACACCCCCCCCCCC